AGGTTTTGAAGCATTTCACACTCATCCTTTGTCATGTACATTTCTGCCAATCGTAGGCCGGCAATACAAGCTTTCAAATCCCAATGCACGGCTTTTAAGCTGTTATACATGAAGTAGTAAAACTTTCTCTTGACAAATAGGTCGCATTTACAAGCTTGGCTTGTCATGCCTGTTACGATGGTGTACAGTTCCTCCAATATTTTACTATGTCTGCTGATGAGCTCCAACTTTTTCCGCACAGTGTAGGTTTCTCCTTCCAATTTGTGCATTTCCAAACTAGAAGTTATGCTTGAAAGAATTTTTTGCATAAAGTCTATCCTCTGAGAGAATTCTATTTTGCTGGTAGGATATTCGACTTCGAAAGTGCTTTTGGTTACGGTTTGTTTGGGTGTTTGTCTGGTAATCTGACCAATGGCATTAATGTAGTCTTTAATCTCCTGGGGAACAGTTAAATTCATAAACATTGAAGTTAAACATGCGTAGGATGTTCCAGGAAAATGTTCAGACAGCCGCTAGCAGCTAATTTTTCAAGAAGCTTAATCAGGTAATTCTCCTAACGATAGGCTTCTCCACAAAAAAATGAAAGACAATATTGATGAGCTTACAACCAATATTTGCACAACTAACTGACCTAGCTTAGTCAACTTATTATTAGGCTCATTTTGATAACCTAAAGTAAATCGAAATTTTGAAGATAAGTGATTGAGACATTTAAAATATAAATGTACAAATAAAATACACAATGAGTAGTGCTTGTCTCAACCTATAACGAACTGTTTCAGACGGTGATGGCATGATAAGGAATTCATCAGTAACACATTGCACAGTTATCATGTAGAAAACCTTTTTTCTCCAAATTAATAGTTACCTTTAAGGAGGTAAAAAACTCTTTTGTATTAGTCTCCCACACAAAGAACGTTGACCTTCCAGTTCTATCATTGCCTAAGATAATCTGAGTCAGATGGGGAAAAAAAAGATACGTTTACATTTAAGGTCCACTTAAACCCCAAAATTTTTTTTTCGCTTAACGAAATAAGCGTATTTTTTGGAGTATTTCTGTGCAAAAATTTCTTTATTTGCTCAAATCTTCAATTTTCTGTGCCCAGTCAAAATACGGAAAATCGGCCGCCATCTTGCCCCACGACCGAGTTTAAAGAGGAATGGCTCTAGCGGGTAATGAGACGTCAAATCGAGAATACGAAAGTCTGCATTTCACACACTGTCACTTGTTTGGGAAGGTTGTCGTCGATATTGTCCGAAATATGCCGACTAGGTGTGTTGTATGAGGAATGTATGAAGCGCAATACCCTCTTGCAAATTTCGCACGTTGCTACATCCTCCTACAACACACTTAGTCGTGTGGACTAAGTTGTGGTCGGACAATATCGACTACAACTTTCCCAAACAAGTGAAAATGTGTGAAATGCAGACTTTTGTGTTCTCGATTTGACGTCACATTACCCGCTAGAGCCATTCCTCTTTAAACTCGGTCGTAGGGCAAGATGGCGGCTGATTTTCCGTATTTTGACTGGGCACAGAAAATTGAAGATTTGAGCAAATAAAGAAATTTTTGCACAGAAATACTCCAAAAAATACGCTTATTTCGTTAAGCGAAAAAAAAATTTTGGGGTTTAAGTGGACCTTAAATGTAAACGTATCTTTTTTTTCCCCATCTGACTCAGATTATCTTAGGCAATGATAGAACTGGAAGGTCAACGTTCTTTGTGTGGGAGACGAATACAAAAGAGTTTTTTACCTCCTTAAAGGTAACTATTAATTTGGAGAAAAAAGGTTTTCTACATGATAACTGTGCAATGTGTTACTGATGAATTCCTTATCATGCCATCACCGTCTGAAACAGTTCGTTATAGGTTGAGACAAGCACTACTCATTGTGTATTTTATTTGTACATTTATATTTTAAATGTCTCAATCACTTATCTTCAAAATTTCGATTTACTTTAGGTTATCAAAATGAGCCTAATAATAAGTTGACTAAGCTAGGTCAGTTAGTTGTGCAAATATTGGTTGTAAGCTCATCAATATTGTCTTTCATTTTTTTGTGGAGAAGCCTATCGTTAGGAGAATTACCTGATTAAGCTTCTTCAAAAATTAGCTGCTAGCGGCTGTCTGAACATTTTCCTGGAACATCCTACGCATGTTTAACTTCAATGTTTATGAATTTAACTGTTCCCCAGGAGATTAAAGACTACATTAATGCCATTGGTCAGATTACCAGACAAACACCCAAACAAACCGTAACCAAAAGCACTTTCGAAGTCGAATATCCTACCAGCAAAATAGAATTCTCTCAGAGGATAGACTTTATGCAAAAAATTCTTTCAAGCATAACTTCTAGTTTGGAAATGCACAAATTGGAAGGAGAAACCTACACTGTGCGGAAAAAGTTGGAGCTCATCAGCAGACATAGTAAAATATTGGAGGAACTGTACACCTTCGTAACAGGCATGACAAGCCATGCTTGTAAATGCGACCTATTTGTCAAGAGAAAGTTTTACTACTTCATGTATAACAGCTTAAAAGCCGTGCATTGGGATTTGAAAGCTTGTATTGCCGGCCTACGATTGGCAGAAATGTACATGACAAAGGATGAGTGTGAAATGCTTCAAAACCTGTTGGCAGACCAAAGAGTAAGAGATAGACAAGTTGAGCAGTTGGAAAAAATGAAGAAGTGGATGTTCTCCACGGTATGTAAAACAATTACATGTTGCTGGTTTGTTTTTCTCGTTTGAGCAAAAAGTCGTTTTCATCCTTAAACTGAAAAGGGATCCTTGATTAGAAATATTTGCATAGTTCAATCGTATACCATTTGAGGCATTCAGAATCAGACGATAAGTGCTATTAGGTGTTACATTTAACATAAAGATCCATAAAAATTGAAAGAGTGAACTCATATACTGCAATTTTTTTTACATAGAATCCAGGCATATCTTGACTATCCTTATGCGTTCTTGGTTTCACATATATGAGAATCTTCACCTTTGGTGTTAGTCAATGAATAATCTCGTTGTATACTTTTTCATGTTAATATACTTTCTAATGTTTACACTTTAGTTCCACGGAGCAGAATCGAGGGCACCCTCGCCAGGAAAAATTAAGAAGGTTCGGTCTATGGGCCGTGGCACGTGGTTCGCCTTATGTGGATATCCCCTTTATCGGACCAGTTATACCGGTGAGGGTCACGATATTTGCTTTTGACAGCAGAGACAGGGTTTGGAGGGAGGACTTTAGGGACTGGTCGTCATTTATTGCCGGGGGGGGGAGGGGAAGGGGTCGTAGGATTTTAATCGTGTCACTTGAAAATTTATCTGATCCTTCTATAAGGCTCTGTAATATTGTTATGATCACCCCATTATTAGCATTTAATTGGCAGTCAATTTTCTATAGTACACCCTTTATACTTTGCTGAAGACGATTGATCCCCCTGCGTTCCAGCTAAAAACCCATGTGTCCCCCCCTCCGACTTGGGCGATCAGTAATGGTTGATCGCTAAGCATCTCCAATTTTGCGGAATGGTTGTAAATTTTTCTGAGAGACATCCCTCTACGCGCCCAGAGAAATATCCATTAGTTGCCCTTGCTTTTAAGTTCCGCGACTTCATTTTTTCAGCCTCGTCTTTGCAAGGCGTGAAATGTTTTAAAATTAGGAATTGCCATTACATCAGTTAGTAATGCAAACTATTTTATCTTTTGCAGTTCAAAATAAAGGACAACAATTTAGAGCTATAATTTAAGAACAAAACAAGGTGAAGGAAAAATGAAAATACAGACCAGCCTGTCTCTTATTCACCAAGAACACGCGAGAAGCCTTCCTATTTCCCTAAGACGATCCACAGGCCCTGTTTGCCCAAAGTGGTGGTTGAAAAGTCATGGAGACTGCATTATTCTTTCCAGAAGGAGGAACTTACAGAGAGCAGTGTTCCAAGTAAAAGTATTGGAAATCTGTAGACTAGTCTCTTCCAACGAGGATTTCTGGAAAAAGCGAAAAATAATCTAGAAAATAGTCCGGAGTTTTATCAACTTCATAAAAAAAATCATTTACAAGATGAAATATCTTTAGTACGTCAGATTTCATGATAAGTCTTCTTATCATGATCAAATTTTTGTCATACATTGGAGGAACACATTGTTGCTTATGCAATTGTGACTGCATATCTTCATTGCGCATCTTGAAGTTTTAGTCTTAAATTTGCACGAAGACTGTAAGGATGAAAACATGACTCTTAAGGATGGCTAGGTCTATAGAAGAACTACTAGACTAGCGGAATGAAAAGCGAACAGGCGGTAAAATATTAATGAGTTTTCATAACGTGAATTTTTTGGAAAAACCTGTGGACGAAAAATCAGTCTTTGTATCAGTTTGAAATCTGACGGTTAAGCCATTGGCGGACCAATTCTAGTACGAGCAACAGAAAATTGAGAATAAAAAGAAAAAAAGGAATCATGATTGCTATGCATGGGGCAGATCACGAAATACGCCTGGCAAACTCGTAGAATAAATGAAAACGTTTAAAACTATTTCAGTTCTTCAAGACTGAAAACTTCTGAGTGTGTGACGTAGCTTCCACAATCACCACGATTTACCATAAGCATCGAATTACGCCAAAAAAGGTCGTAGACTGAGGATGAGTAGATGGTGTTGCAAGGGCAGAGCCATTCAGTCAGATGAAGAGGCGTGTTTGAAGGCTTAAGGTGGCTCGTACCGGTTTTCATCTTTTTGATGGTTTGTAACTTTGAAAGAATACAACAGAAAGGCTGACCAAGGCCAGTTGAACACTTTTACGGGGTTGAATTATATAAAAATTGGTTATCCAAAAATAGATGTCATTTCATCACTAGCAGTTTCCATGGCAACGCTTTCATAGGCTTATTCAGACGCATTTTTTAGCTTGTGGCTTAAATAATTCGAAAACTAACCCGGTGACCCCCTGATTTTTTTTCAGTGATTGCTTTTGGCACTTGAAAAGGAAAATGCACAAAGATTTTTAAAAAATTCTACGGAGCGGAATTTCAGAAAATCTACAAAAAGGGCAATTTTCACACATCACAAATTTCCTTCCGTAGAATTTTCTAGTTTTTTTTCTGATGATTCCTTTCGACGTTATTATCATATTGGAANTCGTTATCTTAGTTTCTATCTCCTGCATTCACAGTGGCCGCTCAACACATCAAATACAAGCCCTTAGGTAAACTTCTCACAAAAGTAGAAAAAATTCCACGCGCCGCCATCTTTTTTTTGAATTTTCATCTTTTAATCTCGCGCTTCTTTCGCACGTTTCTCTCGCGCTCGTCACGCAAGAGTGACCTGTTCCCCGCGCGAGGAAACTGCTATGAGCCACCTTAATCGCGCGTAAAAAAGTGCAACCCTCGCACGATTCTTCATTCACGCGCGTGGAGTCACTCACGCACGCTTACGGAAGGGAGAGAAGAGGGTAAGTATAAGTCAAAGTATAAAAATAAATTATATCGGTTAGCAATGATTTTAACCAAATAATTGATTTTATTGATTGCATGTTTAAAAATCCGATGTATGATTCTCCTGTGAGTTTCTAATGTTTTTTGTGTTTTAAACTTCTGGTAGCATAGTTTACATTTAATTCGAGCATTTTGGAAGAATAAAACTAGTTCTTTTATTATATCATCATAATTTGATGATATAACAGTTTTAATATTCATATTTGCATTGGTTTCCAACGTTTCTTTTTGTTTGCCAGACACTTTAAAATTATTTGTTGGTGATTTAAGCTCAATGGCGAAACCATTAAATTCTCGGTGATTACATAACAAAAGAATATCAGGTTGGCCAGAAGTATATCCTTTTTTATAAGCATCAGATCGTTTATAAGTATTATCTTGTAATTCACCTAAACCGGGAACGATTTAGTATAAATTACCATGATTGTTTCTTATAAAATCTATAACTTTATAATGAAGTGCTTTTTCATTGTCTATCATGGTCATATTGTTGTTTTCTTTATGAAACATTTTGTATTGACCAGTTTTTCTGATTGAAGGAATGACTTCACTTGTGACCCATCTTTTAAACTTTTTGGCTTCCATCTTTTCACTTCTCAAAATTAAACTATAAAAGCCTGATTCGTTGATTAAGGTCATTTTTTTTGTCAAAGCCATTTTCAATAGTCTCAGACAAAAGGTAACGATTCGTTACTCTTTGCTTAAGAGGCCTAAAAAAGGTTTTTTAAATTTATCATCTTCATCTATATGATCTGTTATTGCTTTTCGTAAATTTTCATATCCTAAAATATCACATATCTCTACCAACACACCAAGGATTATTTTTTTCATCAATTAAAACTTGAATCGATCCAATTTGTGAATTATTGAAATTACGGGAATACAATTTAGGCCCTAGGTTTGATGGTCTATACCGGTCAATCACTATACTACCACAATCGCATAGAACTCCGCATAAGACCAGACCAGATGAAATAAACCCAAACGTAGACACGAGAAAACGAGCAAATCCGCTCTTTCCTCTACATAAATTTGCTTGTAACATTGCTGTTTCCAATTAATAGGTTTACGGTTTACTTAGGCGAAAATGTTGCAAACGTGCGATGGTTCGTCGAAGGTTTGAAAGGAAACGTTGCCTTTGCGATTCAATCAAGCATGTTCTCCCGTTCCAGACCAGATGAAATAAACCTAAACGTATACACGAGAAAACGAGCAAATCTGCCCTTTCCTCTACATAAACGAGCGTGTTATCATATTGCAAATGGTTGTTGCCTTCATTCGCTTGTCTTGAGGGTTCTTCCCTTATCTTAATGTTATTTGGTTCACGCTAAACTTGTGTAAAAATTTAGCCTTAAAATTCAATTTTCCTAGTGACACCCGCGACTCATTAGTATAGGGATCTCGACCACCTTCAAAGTGATTCATGGCAGCAGTTTCGAAAGTCTAAAATATCAGCTATATCTGAAGAAGAATTACTGCTGATTAAAAATCTCTAAATAATTACACCTTTCGGGTGAGAGGCCCGAGGACTTAGGCTTTTTTGATGATAAATTGTCTTTAAGTACATGTAAATATTTTCGAAGCTCCATTTTTTTATAATATGTTGCCGATCTGCTGTTGTGGACGATAAATGCTCGCTGCTTTATTTGAAGGGAATGCTGGATGGCACGCGGCCTCACCTGATATGTCATAGTTTTTAAACGCTCGGGTAAAAGAACAGTATCATAAGGAAGAGACACTAATTCCTGTCTGTGGGCTTCGAATAGCATTAATTGGCAAAAGACCGAGACTAACAATATGATCACATGACTATATAAGGCCAACATTATGCCAAAAGCGTAATGTGATTTTATCTCGAAGCCCGTCATATATAGAGTTAAGTATTTGGGTGTGCCTTTGCACAGGGCAAGGAGCGTTGTCAATCACAGATCTTAAACCAATCAGATGAGGTCAGATCAAAGAGCACCAAGGTTATAGGCAAGGTCAGTTTCTCTCCTAGTCCTTCTCGCCTTCATTTCCATCGTGTTAACATCCGAACACAGATTTCCGGTACTGTAGAAGAATTTTCCCGCCCCCTCCCCATACTCCGGCCTTCCCTTCAGGCTTTCGTTGCCTTTTTATACGTATTTGGCTCTTTGCCGATATTTAACCTCACCTTTGCTTAAGAGATTACGTGATGTTTATTATATCAATGTTCTTGATGCGGGGTGAAATAAAAGCGTCACTATTGTGGCCAATTTATCCCACATTAGCAGTTATTATTTTTATCTCCCGTCAATCTCGTCAGCAAACTAGCGCGACGTCACGCAGAGCTTCGGTCCCATTTTAGTAGAGACACACGGGTTTCGTGATAAAATTTTATTTTTGTCAAGCTTTTGCTGAGAACAAAGACAACCGAAAATGAATGATATCAATCTCAGTGATATGTGTTGAACGACGGTAATTTCTATCATGATTTTATTATTTTCAGTTTTCAGTCATCCTTTCATTCCTGCTTGTAACTTCCTGCGTTACAATATTGTCGTAGCTACAAGTCAGTTTCTTTGTTTGAATTACAACACCAGAGCCTGGCTCGGTCACATCGGGCTACCTCGGTAATTTGAATGACGATACCGAGGGAGTTTAGGCTTAAATGTGTCTTATAATTCGCAGCTCGTACTCAATCGAAAGTTTACTCAGGTTTGGTGAATCACGAAGAAATATGTAGACAAGGCTCCTACGTTTTATTTTAATCAATTGAGAGAATGTTTAATATTTTCATTAGTTGCCTTTTTTTAAGCTAAGACAGGGTTTGTTTATTTTTCTTTATACTTTGATGACCCCTTACTTCGTAAATACGACAAAACATCCATGAAGTACCAAAAATGCATTAAAATGTAAATTATTTTTACGACAGTCGTATGATCATTCAATCATGTGTGCATTAGCACCTTGGCTCGTCTTTTAAGTAACAGTAGAGGCAATCAAAGCTGAATTCGTTTTTCTCCACCCAATAGTCACTGGAATGCTGCCAGAGTCTTTGATTCCTTTGGTACGACAAAATTTTGGTTTGTTTTTAGCGCCGTGGCCTCTGTGTAGGGCGCTTTTCTTATCTCTGCTAAACATGAACCCGGACATACTGAAACGGTCGGATCGATAACTGGAATTGAGTTTATGCGAAGGACGAGATTTGAGTTATGTTTTACACTTCCCACTTCAGCTTCGGAAAGTATTTAGGGTCAAATGTGACCACATGCGTGGCTATTCTGTGTTATTATGGTTTACAAATAATTTGGTCGTTACTACTCGTTGCGTCCTCACCCGAACAAAAGAGATGTCTGTTCAAACAACTCCAGCAGAGCCTGGCCATGTCATATCCGGTTAGCCAAATTTTTGTGGCAAAAAATACAAGAATTTAAAACTAACATGTCTCTCATACGTAGCTTCGCAGTTCAGCTTAAAAATTATTTACCATAAAGATGAATGCCAATGTCATAAACATGTCAATTATTCCTGAGATGGTCATGTGATCATTTAACTTATTGTTCCGTGCAAAATTACCTCTTAGCTTTTAGTCATCGAGTCGCTGAGGATCGGATAAAAGAAGTCCTCAATCTTTCTAGGATTACTTTGTAACTGCCAGATGTTTAAATTTCTGAGATGAGAGAAAGTCGACTTGATTTAGTGGCTAGATTGCTATGTAGAAAGCGTTTTGTACTTCCGCTTATAGTAAACATTCATCATAAATGGACAAACTACCTGAATGAAACACGAACTGCATCCTATATCGGCTTGGTATACAACACCGATTAGGATTAAAATGCTGCTTACATATTACAAGCCTTTACTGATAGTCATAAATGACGTGAAGAACGATTTAGCGAGGTTTTACCACGGACCAGTATTACTCGTCCCACTCGATGAAATTCGGAGTCGATGTTTTACGAGGTTATTGTTCTCGACGTATTGCCATCATAAATCAGAACATAACTTCAATGAGAGTAGAGTAAAATAGAATTAAACAACTTAACAACGCTCCGAACAAGTGAGTTTGTGTCACTGTCAAAATGATTAGAATTTATGTTTTTTTGTCTGCGTAGACTGGATGCTTCTAGTTTGCCCGGGAAGTATTTGGGGTCGAATGAGACCACATGCATGGCTATTCAGTGTTGTTTTGGTTTACAAATAATTTGGTCATTAATGCTCATAACTTGCCTGCCAGCAAAAGAGAATACTGTTGCACTGAGTCTGTTCAAACAACTTCAACAGCACCTGGCCAAGTCATACTCGGCTAACCAAGTAATTTTTGTGACAAAAAAAACAAGATTTCAATGTGATAAACGTGTCATTCATCTCTATGATGGTCATGTGATCATTCAAGGTATTATTTCGTGCGAAATCACCTCGTGGCTTTTAGTCATGACTTATTGAGTCGTTGAGGGTTGGCTGTAAAGAAGTCCGTTACCCTTTAAGACTACTTTGTAACTACCAGAGCCATAAATTTCTCAGGTGAGAGAAAAAGTCGACTTGTTTTAGTTGCTAGATTGTTATGTAGAACGCTTTTAGCACTTCCGCTTATAGTAAAATTTATCGTAAATAGACAAACTGTCAGAATAAAACACGGACTACGTCCTATCGGCTCGTTATGAATCAAGGATCGGGGTTAAAATGCCACGGCCTCCGTATCGTAAGCATTCACTGATAGAAATTGATGAAGTGAAGAGCGAATTAGCGACCTTTTCACGAGGACCAACGTTACTCGTCTTACTCATTAAAATTCGGATTCGATGTTTTGTAAGGTTATTTTCTCGACGAGTTGCCATCAGAAATTGGAAACATAACTTTCATCAGCGTAGAATGAAACCGTATGGAAACCTTGTGGGCTGTATGAAGATCCATGAAGAACCGAAATAAGTGAAATTCGATTATCCCATGGTCCACTGAGCCGTGGCGCCAGCATCAAGTTTAAGTAAATGCAGCAAGGTCAGAAAACAGCGCCATAACAACATTGTAGTTGAAGCAAATTCTCATCGAAGTTTTAGGACTAAAATGGAGGCTGAAACAAAGGGGAAAACAATAACACGTATCTACCGAACATAGGAAATAAAGAGTGAGTCGTGCGTGGGAAAAAGTGCAGTGGTCGCGTGATTCTTCGTTCGCACTCGCTGAGTCAAATTACCCACGCTTGCTTACGTACGATAGAGGTTAAGAAAAACTTTAGACAAGTCATAAGGCGATAAAAGTAGATCTTAGAAGGATGTCAGCGAAGTAATTTCAGTTCGCTTTAAGGTTATAAGGCTTATTGACGTCAACTTATCATCTTCTTGAATTTATTTGTTATACAAATGCCTTCTTTTGTATAACAAAGCAACTAGTTTTCCAGTTGGAGCTAGTAATCGTTATTTTCGTTTTGGCTTATACTTGTAATCAAAACTGACAGGAAATAAAAACTTTTTTCTGGATTTCTTAGTGAAATTTCTTTTTCCATAATTCTAATTAAAAAAATGATGTGGCAATGATCGAATTGGTTTTTGTCGCTTTCTACTGTCATGTTGTGTCGGGTTACCATCACCGGCGTGGAGGTTTGATTGCAAAAGTGTATTGTCACATGACCATTCACATAATCTAAGATTCAAGTTACTCAAGGAATTCATTAAATGGCACAGTGGCGTGACCATTAAGGATAAAAGTAATTGAATTAAGTCGAAGTTTAAGCTTCAATCTTTCATTTTTAGTGCTCAGTGACTGGGTTCTTAACTCAAGTTATCTTGCCGAACTATCTGGCAACATTAAGGTAAGGGGAAAGTCTTTTAAAGGCGAAAATGTTTTCCCCTCAGAGTTTAGGGAGAGTTGTTAGCTTGCATTTTAATGACAATTCATTTAGATGTAAGTTCAATTCGACCCCGTGTCGCCTGTGTTTCTATCGAAAGTTTGGCATGTGCTATTACAGCAGACCGTTGAAAGTGTTCTGGTTTCGGTTTAAAGGACTTTTAAGTCCGACAATCGCATAGAACTCCTCATGAGAACAGACCAGATGAAATGAACCTAATTATAAACACGAGAAAACGAGCAACTCCGGTCTTTCCTCCACATAAATGTGCTTGTATTATTTATTGTTGTTTCCAATGAATAGGTTTACGGTTTACTAGACGAAAACATTGCAAACATGCGATGTTTCATCTATTGTTTGAAAGGACGTTGCCTTTGAAATTCAATCAAGAATATTCTTCCGTTCCAACGAGCGCTAGCGTCTTATCAGATTTCAAATGGTTGTTGCCTTCATCCGCTCGTCTTAAGTGTTCTTCGCTTGTCTTAATGTTATTTGGTTCACGCTAAGCTTTAAGCTTGTGTGAAATTTAGCCTTAAAATCCAATTTTCCTGTATGACATTCGGGACTAATTAATAAAGGGATCTCGACCGCCTTCAAAGTGAGTTATGGCAGCAGTTTCGAAGGTCTGAAATATCAGACACGTGCAGAAAGAATTACCGCCGACTGGAAATTTCAAAATCCTCATATTTTTCGGGTGAGAGGCCCGAGGACTTAGGGTTTTGATTATAAATTGTCTTTAAGTACATGTACATACTTTCAAAGCGCTCTCTCTTTTTTTTTTTTTTTTTTTATAATAAGTTGCCTATTTGCTGTTGTGGACGGTGAATACTGACTGCTTTATTTGATAGTAAATGCTGGATGGCACGCGGCCTCCCCTGATATGTCGCGGTTTTTACGCTCGATATTCAGTCTTGTCTTGAATTCTGGTGTCTTGTATATTTTACGAAGTGATTGTGAAAAGAAAAAGAAGAAAAGATGCTTAAATAAATACACGACTTCCAATGGGCTTCGAAAAGCATTGATTTGCAAGGAGACCGAGACTAATAATATGGTCACATGACTATTTAATGCTATTTTCGTCAAGTGAATCAGTCTCATTCGGGTATGTTTTGATATGACAATCATCTGTGATAGTCATGTGATCATGTATGTATTATTCCGTGCGAAATCACCTCGTGGTTTCTTAGTCATGACTCATCGAGTCGCTGAGGATCGGAATTAAAGAAGTCCTTTACCCTTTAAGACTACTATGTTTACATCTATTTATCAAAATAACATTAAAAAAAACCAAACGAGAATACTGTAAGAGTAATTCAAAATGAAAGATCGCCTGTGTTTTTTTCAGGTCCTGCGCTTATCATAGTTCCCTTAAAGGAAGTTCGCCACATTCTGTCAGATTAGCGTGCACATCTACAACATTAACGCCCATATTATCGAGTCGGTGATCATCTGCATAAATCTTTTGATGTAAAAGGTATGTCGTCTTTTTAGTAGTTAAATCATTCTGGAAATGTGGCATAATAATGGCCTAAATGCAGATCCCTGAGGAAATTTCTCGGAAACCCTCTCCAAGGGTCTCTCAATTGTGCTTCGTTTGACCCTATTAGATGGAGTCCATAAAGGTTGAGTTAAGGAGTTTTATGCTACTTTTGTGAAACCATAAGCCTTACGTTTAGCTAAATGAGAGGGGAATGTAGGCAATCAAATGCCCTGCTCATGTTTTTGGAAAGCACATCAACAAATTTACCTTCATCTGTGTGACACTAAAGCCATTTCACACTTATTCCTTTTTATAGATGCTATTGATTCATCAAAGAAGTTATTATCGAGCCATATTTTTAACTGATAGTTGATAGTAGATCTGTATCCAGTCCAGAGTTGGCTGAAAGTAACGATTAGATATAGTGAAAGGAGAAGTGATACAGTGCTTTAATGTCAATTATTTGTACCACAGTCATGTGATCATTTCTTTGTGTTATGTTTTACACTTGCCGTTAGCACTAACCGTTAGCCTTCGAAAGTATCTGGGGTCGATTCTGACCACATGCATGGCTATTAAGTGTTATTTTGGTTGACAAATAACTTGGTCATTACTGCTCATAACGTCCTGCCTGAAAAGAGAGTGCTGGTGCTCTAGGTCTGTTCAAACAACTTCAGCAGAGCCTGGCTATGTCATATACGGCTAGCCAAGGAGTTTTTGTGACAAGAAATACTAGATTTTAAAGCTCAAATGTCTCCCATACTTAGCGCCTCCGTTCGAACTCAGTCTGAAAAAGTGTTAACCAAAAAGATAAAAGCCAGTGTGACAAACAAGTCAATCATCTGTGTGAAGGTCATCATTCAATGTACTATTCCGTGCGAAATCACTTCGTGGCTTTAAGTCGTGACTCATCAAGTCGACGAGGATCGGGATTAAAGAAGTGCTTTACCCTTAAAGACTACTTTGTAACTGCCAGTACATTAGATTTCTCAGGTGACAGAAAAAGTCGTATAGTTTTAGAGGCTAGATTGTTATGTAGGACGTGTTAATCACTTCCGCTTATAGTAAACATTTATCCTTAGACAAAATGTCAGAATGAAACATGGAGTGCATCCTATCAGCTTGGTATAAAACACTGATTAGATTTTAAGTACGGTTTACGTATTACAAGCCCTCATTGTTAGACATTGATGACGAGAAGAACGACTTGGCGAGGTTTTCCCAAGGACTAAGACTACTCTCATTCGATAAAATTCGGAGCCGATGTTTTACGAGGTTATTGTTCTCGACGTAGTGCCATCATAAATCTGAACATAACTTCGATAGGCGGAGAGTGAAACAGAATGAAAACAGAGCGGGCTGTATGAAAATCCGTGAAGAACCAAAATAAGTGAAATTTGATTATCCATATGTATTCATCGAGCCGTGACTGCAGCATCAGCAAGGTCAAGTCAGTTTCATGACTGCAGTAAAGGCTGAAAAAAAGGGAAAACGTATCCATCGCTTTTTTACTGCCTAGAATTAAACATCTAAGCAAGGCTTAAAACAAGCGAGTTAGTGTCCCTGTCAAAACAATTACATTTTTTGTCTTCCTTTCTGCGTAGGATGGGTGCTTCTTGTTAGCCTCTGAAAGTATTTGGGGTCGCATGTGACCACATGAATGGTCATTCAGTTTCATTTTGGTTTACAAATAATTTAGTCATTACTGCTCGTAACTTCCTGCCTGAAAAGAGATTACTGTTGCTATAAGTCTGTTCAAGCAACTTCAGCAGAGCCTGGCCATGTCATATACGGCTAGCCTGCTTTTGTGACAAAACATAAAGATTTCAAAGCTCACAAGTCTTTCATGCTTACCTTCAAAGTTTGCACACAGTCTAAAAACATTTATAACAAAAATGATAAATGCTAATGTAATAAGTCTTAATCATCTGTGTTATGGTCATGTGAACATTCAACGTATTATTCCGTGCGAAATCACCTCCTGGCCTCTAGTCATGACTCATCGAGTCGCCGAGGATCGCAATTAAAGAGGTCCTTTACCCTTTTATGACGTTTTTGTAACTGTCAGTGCAGTAGATTTCTCAGGTGAGAGAAAAAGTCTGGATTGTTAGGTAGAATTGATATGTAGAAGGCGTTTAGCACTTCGGGTTATGGTAAAATTTGTCGTGAAATTCGGAGTCGATGTTTAATAAGATTATTTTCAAGACGAGTTGCCATCAGAAATGAGAAACATAACTTTTTATTGGCCTAGAATGAAACAGTATGGAAACCTTGCGGGCTGTAGGAAAAGCCACGAAGAACCGGAATAAGTGAAATTCTATTATCTCAAGGATCCACTGAGCCGTGAAAATGAAGCAAGGTCAGAAAACAGCACTATAACAACGTTGTGAGGGAAGTAAATTCTGATCGAGTTTTAGGACTGAAATAGAGGCTGAGATAAAGAGGAAAAAGTACTAATTGCTTTTTTACTGCCAAGAGCAAAACATCTTAGTAAGGCGTAGAACAAGTGAGATAGAGTCATTGTCATAACAATTAGATGCTGTGTCTTCTTGTCTGCGTGGGTGCTGTTGATGATGTTTATGATAATAAGAATAATGATAAATTGTGATAAATGTAATAAATGACTGTGAATATATGAAGTGCACTTAGGTTTAAGAAATGAATATGGAAGCGATCATCGCTTAAGTAGTCTTCATTACCGCGAGGATTGCTTTCATATATATTTCTTAGATTGCAATGCTCATTGATGATTTTCATATATGTACAGTCATTGATTCATCACTTCACAGACGAATCAAAATAATAACCAGCTCCCAGTCGGTTTGTTTGCTTAGTTGGTAGGGCATTGCACCGGTATCGCATAGGTTAATGGCTTCAAATCCTGTACAGGCTTGAGTTTTTTTTTTCTAGGACTTATTTTCTCTACCGCTCAAGTAATGCCCATTACTGCGAGGATCGCTTTCATTTTTAAAAGTGATAAAAATAGTAGCACTTATGTCTCTTTATCAAAACAACATTAGAAAATGTGACAAGATTATATGGATTACGAAAACCCTGTCGTCCGATCAACGTAGACCTATTCTAAAGCATGCAGGGAACTGATCAGGTAACATACGGGACATCCTGATCTGTGTCACGCAACATATTTTCAATATTGTCACAAAAAACACGGAGTGGGAACACCATAGGATAAATTAAAAATAAAAAATCGAATGTCTTTTTCAGGTCCTATACGTATCATAGTTCCCTTTAGGAAAGTTCACCACATACTGTCATCTTGCACATCTACTAAATTTCCGCCCATATTATAGAGTTGTTAATCATCTGCATGAATCTTGTAATATAAAAAGGGTCGTCTTCGTTTCATTAGTTAAATTATTCTGGAAATAAAAAAACTAGTTTCCAGATGGGATTTGAACCCACGACCCTCCCTGATCTAGTCAGATGCTCTAACCACTGAGCTACAGGAGACTCTATGGTGAGCAATGGTCAATTAGTGGGTATTGACTGGAACCGCATCACGCGGCTACACAGCCAAACATCAGCTAACGGCATCACGCTGTCACATTAAAGCATCACATGCATTAAAGCATCACATGCAGCCAACCAGCCCCCAAAGTGAGCATGCAAAGAGAATCCGACTAGATCACGGAGGGTCTTGGGTTCAAACAGGATCTCACAACCGCCGTGTGCTCAGTTTGACCTTATTCGCTGCAGTCCATAAAGGTTGAGCTAAGGAGTTTTATACTACTTTTGTGAAACCATAAGCCTTTAGTTTAGCTAAATGAGAGGATGACGTACGTAATCTAATGCCCTACTCAGTGACACTAAAGCTGTCTCACACTTGTTCCTTTTTATAAATGCTATTAATTCAAATAAAAAGTTATTGTTGAACAATTTTCTAAGCTTATAGTTGATGGTAGATCTGCTGCCAATTCAGAGTTGGTTGAAAGTAGCGATTAGATATAGTGAAGAGAGATGACACTGTGGTGAACTAGTGCCTGGATATACTATGCAGAATTGAATAAGGATGAGCTGGGATTAAACTGAAAGCCAATGACCCTGTGATTCCAAGAAACAGAATTGAGCTTCTGGTAATTAAAAGGGTTTGGGTAACTGGTGGATTAGTATTGAGGATGATGAAATTAAACAACTGATATCCCCTTTGCTTTAGCTTTATTCACCTTGCTATAGATGTATCATTTAAAACTGCTGTGATGAAAACATTTCATGGTTGTTATAAAGATATTGCATCACCGGTTGCTAAGTTCTGCTATCCTCGAACAAAAACCGAACCAGTTTCATTTTTGGCGGAGCAAAACAACTCGCGAGAACATCGAGGCTATAATATGTTGAGGCTAACAAATTTATAAACTCTTTGAGAGGAGATATGCCTTTAAAACTGGGACGTATTTAAAAGTTATATTTCGTCTTCTTTGTTGGATTAGGTGCATTTCATTATTTAAATTCATAAAAGAAAAATTGAAGAAGAGTTTGTACATCTTCTTATCGAACGCTTCTTTTTAGGTATGGAAGAATTCCGAAAAAGTGTTTATCTTCTAACCAGAGATGAAACGAGGACATTGACCCTATCAGAATTTGCAGGATTGAGAAAAGGAGAACGGTACAAGCGTGGTGTGACATTTCATCGAGACATGACAGATGTTCATGTGAGAGGCTTGCTTGAAAGTTTGTTCTACCCTATCTTATCAAATAAACGGTGAGCGCATGAAGTACTTCATACAGTAAATAATATAATGATAACCCTTCTTCAAAACCAATTGTACCCCTTAGTAGATCGTAAATACAGTGCGCATAATTCTTATGGCTTTGATTCATAAAGAACGGAAGTGCGAAGTTTGAAGAATCAGTTCTGTGAAAATGTTTTTCTCATTATTATTCAGGTTTTCTTGCGCATCACGAGAAGGACAGACCAGTGATCAATTCAACTTTCATGGTATTCACCGTGTTTGGGATGGACGAACGATTAAAAGAAACATAAAAGGCCAATCGGCATTGTATGTAATCATGGAGGACGAGGTACACAATATATAGAAAACGATCATATAAAAGCACAGTTTTGAAGCTTATTACCTTCGATACTTTCGGAATAAGTCACCCTTCGTTTCGTTACTATCTGTATGCCACTCTGAGCTAAGCAATTCGTAAAATGTGGGAAAATAGTGGTTTTCTTAATCAAGACTAAGTAGTAGTTTCCAACTAGTAAATGACACAGAACAGAATTTTAACGAATTGTGTGACAAAATAAAGGGTCCTTTTTTACTGCCAGCAATTTTCAAATATTTATGAAAAGTTAGATCACATGCCTGGATGCTCATATAAATGCATGTCTGAAAGCCAAAATGAACTGCATTTGAATAAAAAGTAATAAATTTTTTACAATTTTTTCATATTTCAAAATCAGCTTGTATTAAACCTGGTGTCATCTGAAGGAGGACCTCCTTCATCAATACAAGGTACACAAGAACGAATCGTTTTCGTGTATTTTTATCTCTTCAATCTTTGATTGTTATTGAAACCCTAGTTTCAAACCTGAAGCTTTCATGTAAAGTATTAATTAATTTTCTATCTAGGTCATTCGCCATCCACCAGCTTCTGCCACAACTTTAAAAATGGCAAGACTGTAAGTGATATTTTAAATGATAGAGCACGCATTAAACCTACCATTCTTTTTTTTTCACATACTTTCAATGAATAATTCTCCTTGTAAATAGGCAGAATTACAGTATCCTCATGTAGTGCAGAGACGTCATTTATATCAGTTACACTAGTGCTCATTGTTGCCGGTCTCTTAAAATCAGAACTTGAATTGCAAGATCCATAACTGCACCGGGTTACATGGGTCCCATTAATTTCTGTGATCCAAGAAGCAGAATTTAACCACAATTTTCCCTGTTTGTTGAAGGTGTCATTAACCCAAACACCACAATCCGTGACAACAGTGACATCTATGAACATAGAAAATGCAAAAGGTAAGTTCATTTTTTGAAGTTGTATTTTCTCTGGCGCCATGGAAGGTATGAGGACCCACTGATTTTCTTCTCGTCTAATACAAAAATTGAAATTGAGAAATTGTAATCTATGATCATGTTTTTCTTCGACACACGGTACCGTAAAATAATGTTTCCACCCAACAATTCACAAAAAGCGAACTCAATTATTTACTAAATTTACGTCTACAACCTATGGTTGACGCCTGAATTGAGCATTTTGAAGCCTTTTCATACTTGATGATACCATAAAGCAGCATTTAGGAGAGAAAAATCCCTACACCCATCTAAAAATATGATACCGCCGAAAGCTGACTCTTCGCTCTAAGCGACCTATTGTCTTGTTTACCATGCAGTAATGACAAAGAACAGACGAAATCACTTAAAGTCAGAATGGATATAAGTTTTTTTATACATGTTTATCCAAAATATTTCGTATTATCCATTTAGAGAGTGTTACTATTAATATTACTTGAAGTGTAGTCATTTTAAATTGGAAAATGTAAACTTTCGTTTTATGACAGCGTGTGCGTCGTTAACTAATATATTTTTAAGGAGGCTCGAAAAGGTTCTCCACAAGTAACGGCAAGTGCTAAATAATGAAAGATATCAGAACTCTTAAACTTAGCATTAGAGTATTGTTTTGACATCTGTATAAAACTGTTTTAGTACATTTTTAAGGGTGTTCGTCAGGCTTTACCTGTTGCCACGGCAATCGAACAGCGGTGCTAAAAGACCCTCTAAAACTCGGTTTTTGAAAGATATCTCAAAAACCAAGTCAGTGACCTACTTTTTTTTTCAAATTTCTTAAACATCATCACATTCTCTATTTGTACACTTGATATAAAAAATCTGTCTGGTAGAACTTGAGTTATTTGGGAAAATGCCGTTACAAGATGTTAAAAAAATTTACATCAAATAAATTTTTTTTTAATTCTCTTCACAAACGTTCAATGATTAATACTATTTGTACACAAAAAATCAGGGTAGGGCACCGGACTAATTTTCGAGATATTAGCTCACCAACCTAGCAAGCTTTATTTCCGGTTTTTGCAATTTTAGCTCACACTTTAATATCCGGTCACGCGTTTTAAACGATACCGCAGACTCAACGGCTTATTTTCGTGAGGACGAGTCCGCCCTCAGCGAGGAAAAAGCGTTCGTCCTGAAGATGGATTTACTATTGGTTTCGGATTTTACACATTCCTGAAAAATGAGTCATCATTTGAAGCCCAGACTGCCTACCGTTACGACCGTTGGAAATGTAAGAGTATTCCGGAGAGAATTCTCTTGCAGAATTCGATATATGGTGACAAGTTGATTTTGCAGTTGGCGCCAATGCCAGTAATCCATTGAAGCCGTTTATGTTGAAGTTTCTCGTTCTGAGATTGTGATGTAACATGCAAAAACAAGCATCTGCCAGCTTCCGCACCAAGTTTGTCGAACCGGATGAAGCTTTCCATCCAACGTCTGGATGGTATCTTATCTGTGATCCAAGAAGATGGCTTGATCGAAGGCCTCATTCGGCGATCCACATTTACCATGATTGACCGATAAAATTGTGCATGTGCAGTTTGAAGTGGAGGAGTGAGAAGAATTTGTAGTGAAAAGAATTTGCTTTGACGCCTCCCAGATTGTGCTGAGCGTCAAACTTAGCGGAAAACAGGGTTTCATATACATCAGTAATTTGTTGGTCACAGATTTCGCGAATTTCCATAATTTTCGAGGCACTAGAGGTACGAACAAGCCTTGGCTTCATTTTTCTTTTTCTCTCTTTGCCACAGTCATAACCGTGAACTTTTATTATTCCGTTTTAAATGGTGTGGAATCTGGTGACTAGTAGTCTAGACCGCAATATTATTAACCTGCGGTGTGCGTTCGGCACATGCGCAGAGACAGTTAAAAAACATGTGCTCGAGTGCATGAGAGAACCGCCATGTCGAAACTTGTACTCGCTATGTACTCGTTGCGTTGTTTTACTAAGCGTGGCCGCCCCGTTTTATTCTGTCACTGTTAGAAGTTTCTGACTAAGTATTCGTTGATTAAAGTCGATTAATTCAGTCTTGTGGTTTACACAAATGGTAAACCAAACAAATTTTGCAACCCTTCTCTAATAAATGCGAGTTTGCATTTTCCAAGTTGTAATTTACAGTTTATCGAGGGAAATATCAGCAATCTTTCTCACAAGTTTAAGATAAATATTATATTTAACTTTACCGTATGTGTTTGGATTAGAATTAAAGTCTCATCTACATTTTTTCGATCTCATGTTTACTTGAAAAATATGTTAATTTTAAAGGCAACATTTACACTTCTCCATTTCCGTTCATAAAACTGTCAATGTTTACAATCCCGGATCCAACAATGCTTTTATTTTCGTTTTCATCTTCCAGTGAGTTGTTAAGGAAAGCTCTCGGTAATTTCATTTAGGAATCAAATTCAATGCCAAACAAATCTTATCACTCAGAGGTATTCGCTTAAATTTTTCGCAAAACAAAGACTTATCGAGCGACTTTGTTGATGCGGTGTCGACTTCACTCTCCTCCTTTAGATCAATTTTTTTTACCACTTTCGGCAAGAGTCTTGCCATCCAAGGATTTTCCTACCCACTTTCCAGAAGTAAACTTTCCACTTTCGCTGGAAACACTAAAAGAGAATAGTCCATTTTACAGTTGTGTGCTTGGTTGCCAAGCCTTTTAACGGGAGTGAGGCTAGGGGTGACCTTGCTATGATTCAAACCTTGCTGCCTTTCAAATGTAAATAACTTTGTTATCATGCTAACAAGATACAGGTCTCTATCACGACAAGGTCACCTTCAGCCTCACTCCAAATCAAAGGCTTGGCAACTAAGTTCACAACTGTAAAATGGACTATTTTGAAACGCTCATCGTGCCCATGTCTGTTTGTTTGCGTGTATCTTGGAATCCATTCTCCGCGCGGTCAAAAAACCTTTCGAGCCCTCTTAAGGTCCTTATTCCTGAGTTGATAACGTCAAGTATTAATAAAGTCGCCAGGAATAAAATAATTTACCGAAAAATGTTAAAAAAATCCTTATAGACGAGAAGACTCTACAGAACTGTTTTCATTCTTGTCTACTGCTAGAAGGTCACAATGTAACGCTGTTTACCTTAATTATCAATCGTGCGTCTCGCAACCATGCACAGCTTGTTCAGGAAACTCTAAGTCAATATTTTACTTTTGAAATGTAATCTTTGTATTATTTTTGGATCGATAAAACGAGGAAGTATCATCAAAAAACGAACTCAATTATTTACGAAATTTACGTCTATAACCTACCACCTGTAGTTGACACCTGAATTGAGTACTTTGAAGCTTTTCATGCTTCATGCTTAAAAATCTCCACATGAAGCAATCATGTAATAATTACTTTAGAATGAAATGTTACAATTAGTCACAGATTGTCTCTTTTTGTTTCACTTGCTCTAACTCTTTGAAACTTAATTGTTTTCTTGAAAATTCAGTGGAAACGACACAATGGGAACATTATATGAACAGTTATAAACCTGGATGGATTGTAAGTGAATTCTGCTATTATTTCTACGTTGTTATTATACTGGTAGTCTATCAAAGATAATCATCGAGCACTCGCGTTACCCTCCGTGTAACCTAAGCTCATTTCAAATATAATGCAGTGGTCCTTGTCAACAAGTTACCTTCTCCACATGATACTCTTGGTTGGAAAAGGGTGGTCCTGGGTAAATTTCAGCAGATATCATTGGTTGGAGTGAAAAAAATTAAATTGGGTATAAGTAGACCGCTCCTTTGGTTGCGTGAGCCCATTCTTTATTTTTGTATGCAAGACCATAGAACCTGGAATGATATTCTCCAGAGTACAAAAACATTTTAGATCTTAAATCAGAAATAGTCAGAAATCGACTCGGTCCCAGCTTTTTGTTACGAAAATCAACGTGTTCCTTCAAACAAAATTTGCAAATATTCGCCGAAATCGCCATTATGACTTTCAATGGTCAAGTCTGTCTTCCTTTTCAGTGTCTGCTTTGGTTTAATTTAAGGAAGTGCCCTTCTTGTTTTTTATTGTTGTTGATTCAAGCACTAAAATATTTTCGTTTTTCTCTGTTTATATCTAGGATGATAACCTGAACGTGCCCAACTCACCAGGTAATTCTGCTTTTCATATAGGAGACTTCGTAAATGTCAAAGTTAGGTATGCCATGTCGATAACCTTTTGCCTTAATGCGATGCTTGTTAACACAGGGTTTCTCTTAGGAACTCTAGTCGTTGGAGAATAATGTGAAGTAGTGGACGGAAATTATTCACGTCACAGAAAAAGTAGCTCGGGCTATCGAAATTGAGTCGAAGAGTTGTCTGAGTTGTCTTTGATGACTAATGAACACCAGTTAGTCTACTAAAAAATCAAACAATAGACATAGTGCTCATTTTCTTACGGTACTTCAATTCATTTGAAGACATGGCTTTTGAGAATATCGTCGATCCCTTGGACTTTGAAGAGCAAGCCAGAACAGTTAAAATGATCTCAAGGACCCCACAGTTGACCAATGGTAATCAAGAACAAAGTGAGGTAAATTTTAAAATCAAATAAGGCATTCTTTTAAGCTTAGTATTTGGTACAAAGGTATGATTAAATAAAATTATGTGAATGCGAAAAGATCTGTGCCTTATTTAGATTCATTCAGATAAATTTAATCTAGATTAGGTTAATGCGCCCAATTACTTTCTTACTTTGGACAAAACCTCGCTCATACAATTTCAAAATTGTCCCATGTACTCTTTAACTCGTTTTGATTTTTAATGAAATAAACATCCAGCATCTTTGACACAGTTGAAGCTTCTTTCTTTTTTACCAGCTACAAAACCAGCTTCCTTCAACCTCCACTGATGCCTTTCAAAGCGATGACAGTGCTTTCAGTTCGTCAGAAGGTGGGCCAGTGAAGCTTGACTATCCGCTTTTTAACATAAATTGAAAATGTGACATATATGTTAAAGTTCCAGACTGTTTTTGTCATCAGTTAGTTGGCAATTTTCGTGTTACACGTTTAGGGGATCCTTTCCTAAACCTTAAAACCCTCAAAGTCGTCTTCCATATACTTGTAATTTTTTTGTACAAAGTTTTTTGAATGGAGTTCAGATAATTATTTGTGCCGCAAAATTCCACATGGGGCAAATTTGGATTGGCTTTTTGGACGATACAGCAAACCGAGTTACAATGAATAATTTTGATTATTTGATTTAGAAATCGTTTCTCAGAATGGAATGTCCCGCGTCCAAGGAACAACGCAAGGGGGTGGAGTGACAAAAACAAGCAGGAAGCGTATTAAGGTATATTAACTTCAATTAGTTATATCATTGCTCCTTGAGAAACAATCGATTTCGTCAATCTTATCAATCCAAGAATTTTTAGTAATACTTCTGTTAAATGCTTATTATTCGTTTCGCTGAGTAGTCAGGGTATCAGCTTGATATATATATTTTTTTTATGGTTAAACTTTGGTCGATAAATTACGAGTTCAAAATTTGCTTTAAGTTAATTTTAAGTTCTTGTTGACACAGTTGCACGGGCGTCTATAATTGCTCAAAGTAAACATATCTGCGTTTTTCTCCAATTCATTGTAGTTGATGGGGAAAGATCTTTCACCAAACTACATTAGAGATTCTTCCGGACAATCTGACAGCGGTAATTCGTCTGAAGGTGAGTTTAGTAAAGTAAATAGTATCCATGATTAGACCGGTTAAGCTTGCTTTTCGTAATTACAGGAAAAATGAAAGCTAACAACTAAGATTAACGAAGTTAACTGAATAAACATTTCCGTAAGAAACTGAGCTAGGACAGGAAATCGAAATTCGGAGTAGACTCGTTATTGACTGCTTATTTGAAAAAAAAGACTCGTGTAAAGGCTTTGGCTTGGAAAGATTTATCGTGTGGTTCAGCGTAAGAGACAAATTAAATTATTACTTTTATGTGATGCTATTCTGTAGAATATGATTATGGAAGAGTAAATTTGCACGGAGTAGATCCACTGGATTGTGATAATCCAGGAAAAAGCGTGCTCGATTACGGGTGAGGATGTTTTGGTTTGAGCCATGAAGCTGTAAGAATATGAACATCAGGTAAAGTGAGCAATATGAAAAGGACTAGCATCCCATCTTGTACCCAATCTTCTTCTAAAGTAGCATTTCGAAATAGTAAAACGCGTCACAAGTAGATTGGACATGTTCTTACCAATGGACAATTAATGGACCAATCGATGTAAACCCCTGCACCCTCGGGGCCGGGAGATAGCGGGACATTTAGACTGGTGCTTAGTGCTACTTCCCCGCACCCTGGATGGCACGCAAAAGCCGTCAAAGTCCACGATAACCACATCCCTTTCACCGGCGGCCCTTTCGCCTGTGAAAATTCCCCTTATATGCCCCGTTATGTCCCGGCCCCGAGGAAGCGGGGCTCTGCAGTGACTAACCATGGTGTTATTATATTTTGGGATAAAACTTGCTTTGTGTCTTTACGTCGTCTCAGATTTTAAATGTTTAGATTCCTTCCTTTAACTTTTTTTACAGCGAGTACGTGTCAAGCTGAAACTCTCAACCGACCAAAATCTTTACGCGTACAAGAAGCGAGAATGAAACCCAGCGAGGGGACTTTGCAGGTAGAGTCAGATTCAATATTTGTACCTTGCTCTTTTTTGTTTATCAAACTTGCAATGAGCGGCACCGTTTAGGACTTGAAGAGCCCCTCTCTGTTTCTTATAAAATATATCGGAGGGCGACGAAGAAGCACCTGCTTTATAATTTCTTTTGCTTTTGCCCCAAATTTATCCAAGGATTAATCCGCTGAATTTCTTCGCATATTTCTGGGATAACCCGACCCTCGAAATGATCAGAAATTGTTTAAATTCGCGTTAAATCAGTTTCTGAAATTTATCCAAGAAAATATAGCAAAATCTCAGGATCTGCCATCTTGCCGCAACACATATCAGGAAGCGTGATTCGTTTACTAAGAGTGTAAAAAAATATCTCACGAGTGGGAGCAGCGAACGGAAGAAATATTGTTCAATTCAAGAAGAGAAATTTCTTATCTCTAAGCGGCCATACATTGTTCTGTTTATTTTAGGAACACCAGTAATATACCAAACCATTTAACTCCAAGTTGCGAAAGGCCCGATTCATTGTGCAACCATAAATACGGTGATCTTTTTACGTGTGAAAAAAATATGCGTGGATGACACGAATTTTTCTTTTTGCGTTTTCTGGTTGATAGTTTTATTTAGAATTTGAAATAATCGACCTTAGCGCCTACTAAACTTTCAGCAACCATTTTTTTACACATTGAAAGTACGATTTGGCGCCAAAAACTGAGTTTCTCCATTTTAACTATTGAACGCGCGGCCAAAACTGACATGTTGCATAAATGTGACATAGCCAACTGTGAAGACAAATCGGGAACTATGGCGGATAGAGACATTGACGCTGACATTTTGCAAGCGAAGGATTTAATTGCGAGTGTCTCATAGGTGTTATTTATTTCGCGCTCTTGAGATGTACTCATACATACTTCTTGTGTTTCCACATGACTAAATTTTCGCATAGTTGCTATCTAATAAGCAAAGAAACACTTCAAAATCTGCGTATAAAGTAAACGAACACAACAAAACAAACAAACTTGCAAAAGGTAGGTATATGAACATTTGAAGCGTATTCTCCCTCCTTTTCCTCTAGGGTGGAGGAATCTTTCGTGCAGAAATAGATGAAGAACTTCCTCCTTCAATGGCAACAGGTTGGGCATATTTTGGCAATAATTACGAGAAAGTTAGGGTAACGAGGGATGGTCTGGCCATGCTTGGAGAGGAAATTCCTCGTAAGTGTCTTCCTTTTTTGTCTGATTATGCCGTGTAAAGTGAAATGACCTTCAACTGCGAAGATTGATTATTTTTCAGCCTTTATTATACTAGTGGTGTTGCCGGAGGGTTGAAATTCTTGCCGACGTATTCTATTATTTACCTCGTACCATTAATTTGTATGAAATAGGTGGTGACGCACCAGGACCTGTTACAGTTACTTTTACCACACTGAACGGTGATTATGTGGCAAAGGCGATATACACTTACAAAAAATTTGAAAATTCAACAACCGAGCAGATTTCGCGCGTTAAACGCTCTCTGGATAAGGTGGAAGAGTCTGTAAAGCGTCTCAGGAGTGTGACTGACTCATGGTACGAAAGTGACGAATCAGCAAGGGAAAATTATCCCGAGTCAGGTAAAATTAGTCATTTTGTTTCATGCAATAGCTATCTCCAAAATTTTATTACAAGAAATAATTGGATAGAGAGGTTCGCAAACTCAAATAAACCTGGAATCGTCAGGATAAGGCCAAAGCTTTTTTCATTTTTTAAATTTATTTCTTTTCGGAAGTGCTTGAAAATCATGGCTACTTAATTTCTTAACCAGGAGTTCCTGTCGCGATTCCCTGAATTGGCAAAGTGATCTGTTGGCAGTTTGAGAAAAACGTAATCATGATTAACCGATGTATTTTGATATAGAAAGAAATATGTTTCGTAACAGAAAGTTACACTCTCTTCACTGTCTCTTTTTTTAAGACTTAAATTAATGACTAATGAACAAACTATTAAAATAAAGGTAACAATTTTAATTCACCCTTTAACGGCTACCAGTCTCTTTTTATCGGGAATGTAAGATTTGACAGGTATACATATAAAGTCAATCGCCATTGGAAGTGCCTACTCCAGGTTAACCTTTTCAAGTGAAGGGTTCATATTTTCATTACTGTTCAATAAAATTATGAGAATGCTGTCGTAGTAAGTATATAGATGTCCATTATTTCAACTTTTGTCATTATTGAGAGCTTGAAATTTTGCAATATAACCGGAAAGCTATATTGTTTAGTTCTGTGATAGGAAACCTTGGTCGTGACAAACTGTATCATGGTGCCTTGATTCTTTGCTAACATGTTTTTGACGACCGTGTCACTTTTTTAGTGGTAACAGAAGCGGTGAAGGATCAATTAGTAGAGGAGGGTTATTTTGGAGATGTAGAAACATCTGATACAGAAGAAGCTTCAGAAGATGAAGACTCTGATCTCTTGGGTGAATTCAAAAGTAAGTTTCTGCATAAGCAAATTGTAGAATAAAGGTAGAGGATGATTTCAATTAATTGCGGCTAAGTTATCCAGAATGCAGGGGCTTTCCTTTTTCCCCTTGCGCGGACCGGGTTTGGGGGAACGTGATTTTGGTTTCTTCTTTGAGTTTGAATTCCAAGAGCTGTATTTTTGAAGTTTCTTCACAAATCAAGACACTGGACTTTTAGTTTTAATTGTACGGAGGAGAAAGGAATTTCAATTTGACTCTCTGCCTTCTTTTCTGTTTTTCTTTTTCTATAGGTCAGAGGCCTTCAATGGGTGAGTCGTTGCATACAGCACTTAAAAAATTGATATCGTTGAGATCGCTAACGTGCTCTTACTAAGTAAAAGCAGAAAACCACGTTGTTACGAAAACTTACTACTTAATAGCTGAATCTTAAGGGTCCTAGTTTACCAAAGGCCTTAAAATCTTCGAGCATAAATAAAAAACACAAATCCCTGATGTAACCCTCGATATTGAGTGTCCCAAAAACGTTTGTGGCTAGAACTATGTCATCTCACGACAATTTTTGTCACTTTTAGTATAAAATGTTTCACTTCTTTTATGACGCTGTAAGAAAGATTCGTAAGAAAACGTGAAACGCAATAAATCCCCGCTTTTCATCGAGTATTTTGTTATCTCAACATTTACGCTATCATTAATCTTTAATCTTTTGCAACTTATTTTTTCCATAGAACTTCGAGAGCTAGGAGTGAAGTCTTTTTGGGTAAAAGCCCGCTCAATTTGTTTCAGTTTGCCCTACATTTCTCCTGACGTACCAAGACTCATATTGGGTTTTGCTCGCGAAACTACAGAATATGAAAGAATTATCCAGGTTCATCAGAATTTAGGAGAATTACTGTGGAAATTGTCCCCCACAAAACGTAGAACTATTCAAGTCTGTTTAGAGGTCGTGCACCCATTCCAAAAGATACATGCTGTTTCTGAGAGATTACAGATAAAAAGAATAAACTTAGTAAAGTGGGAGTCAGACCGTAAGCCTCAGGATATAGTCAATGTTGCTCCTGGAGCCGATGCCGAAGAACAATGCTTAACATCGCCGATCATTTTACTTCATCGGAAAGCTGAACAAGTGCTTGAAAGCTCACGGGGGGTGTTCTGCGTAGATTCACCTTTTGTTTGTGACAGGTTAAAGGAAAAAGAGAAAGCACACGTAATGTTCAAACGGTTAAGCGAAAGATATTCTGTGAGAAGAATAAAAACTATGTTGTCTGATATTAATGCCGAAGAACGATCCTTGAAATCATTGAACAGTCGGCTTAACAGGAGAGTCATTGCTCCTGTGTATCAGTTTCCATGGCACTTGTACACTTCATCGTCCGGATTGAGTTATGCTATTGAGATGTTGGCTTCAGCCCCGCCCTATGAAGACCTCTCACAAATGCTCCAGAAATTGGAAACTGTGGAACTGGACGAAACTGTCTTTTCATTCATGAAGAGGTTTGTTAAGTTACAGTCATCTCTCTCAACCATTGTTACAAACCCGGTTACATCCGCACAGGTTTCTTACATTCTCTATACATCTGAATCTGCTCAAGTTCCTTTCGGCCTGTTTCACCGACAAGCGTCGCATCTTTCTCTGCGGAGCAACGAGGAAGAAAATGCAAGTCAGTCAATTCTTTCCATGATCGAGAAATTTGCTCTACCTACCTTCTGTAAAAAGGAAATGGATTTTGTCATCCATCTAAACCATTCATCGTCTGAAGGTGTTTTCCATCCAACTCAAAGGAGAATTAAATGGCTTAACTTCATTAGCGTATCCGAAAATAGACTTCGCAAACAGCTTGAATTGGCACTTGACTCCAAGCGCCTTGAGTTCTCCTGGTTCGCGAGTTTATCAGATGAAGAAGGTTTCCTCTGCCCTGCTTGCTGTCAAGAAAACTCAGTCAGCTTTGTTTGCGCTCAGGTTCAAGGTTACAATCAAGGAGAATGCGTGCACCTCTGGTTTGAGTTTGAGCATAGCGACAGCAGTTGCATAAAAAATGTCACTGCTAAGACCTGCAAAGATCCAACCGAGGACTGCGCCAGCTGGACTGGCTCAGAAAATCGGGTGAGTGTATTTAAATAGCTATTTTATATTTCATCATCATCATCATCATCATCATCATCATCATCATCATCATCATCTTTAATTTGCCTTATTTTAACGATAAAAATATTTAATTACAGCGATAACAGTGATAACAGTTAGAAGGCGAGGAGACCCAAGAAGCCACCAGGCTTATGGGAGAGCCACCTCACTTACAACAATAAATCAAGTAAAGAAAAAGTGCTGCGAATGTGCGGCTTAGCCGATTCAGTGATTATTTAAGTAAGAACTCTTGCAATTTCGTTTTAAAGCTGAGAAAGTTTGACGAACGAGTGACTGAAATGAGGAGAGAGTTCCAAATTTTAGGACCTTGGTAGAGAATTGTAAAAATTGCTTGAAATTTGTACGGCACAAATGCGTTCGATATTTGCTGGCTGTTCTGGTACCATAGTTGTGAATTTGGCTAGTTCTTACAAAAAGATCGAGAAGCAATGGAGGCAATAAGTTTTTTTTGAAATAAAACATAAATTTGGCGATTTCAAACGAATTGACTCGGAAAATATATAAAATTCCTAGTTTGGAGAATAAAGGAGCAGAATGGGGTCGATGGTCTGAGTTGGTGATAGCCCGCACAGCTCGCGTTTGCAAATAATAAATTCTATTTAAGTTAGATACGTATCAGATACAATGAAATATATGAAGTTCATATATTTTGAACTGCGGTATTAGATACGTATGATGCACGATCCTCGCAGTAGATAGCGCTATTTAAGCAATAGCGAAAATCAGACCTGAAAAAAATCAGGCCTGTACGGGATTCGAACCACTGACCTCTGCGATACTAGTGCAGCGCTCTACCAATTGAGCTAACAAGCCAACTGGGAGCAGGCCGTTAAGTTGATTCGTAATAAACCCGTGAAAGTGATAAATCAGATACAATGAAATATATGAAGTTCATATATTTTGAACTGCGGTATTAGATACGTATGATGCACGATCCTCGCAGTAGATAGCGCTATTTAAGCAATAGCGAAAATCAGACCTGAAAAAAATCAGGCCTGTACGGGATTCGAACCACTGACCTCTGCGATACTAGTGCAGCGCTCTACCAATTGAGCTAACAAGCCAACTGGGAGCAGGCCGTTAAGTTGATTCGTAATAAACCCGTGAACGGAGGGATGTTTGTTGTAACCGAGATAAGAACGAAAAGAAGGATTCACACTGGGTATAGATCTAGCTAGGTTGGGACCAATGTTTGTAAAGTATTTGCAGAATCTGTCAGCGATCTCCAATGGATCCGTTAATGTTCTGCCTTCAGATTTAAATGATGAGGGAAGAGATGACTTACTTTTACGCTTGTTGATAACCTCGTTTAACAATTTCCAAGTTGTTTTGAGGTCATTTCTGGCATTCTCAAATTTGGAGTCATAGTATCTTTTTTTGGGCAATGCGAATGAGATGGGTGAGTTTGTTTTTGTAGGCTTTACATTTCGTTTCAGAAGATGTGGAGGGCTATGTGACGAGCTTTTCGTAGAGTTTGTCCTTCTTGTTAACTGATTTCAGAAGTCCAGGGCTAAGCCATGTGGAAAAGAACGTGTTCACCCGTTTACCTTTGAGAACCTTTATAGGAATTAGAAAACAGGCATTGTAGACTCTGGGGTATTCTTCAACAACATTATTATAGGCCTCATGGGGATCTTCCATGTTGCGAAATGAGGACCATTTTATGTTTAAAAGATTCTCGTTGAATTTCTGCAAACTATCGCTATTGAATGTGCACATCATAATTTTCCTTTCTGTGCCGCGCGTTAGGGTTGCGTCGTTAATATATACAAAAACCGGTAAGTGGTCAGATAAATCATTTAGTACAATGCCATTTAAAACATTATGTGCAAGGTTGTTGGTGAATATGTCGTCAATTAGTGTCGCAGAGTACGAGGTGAGGCGCGTTGGATTGGAGATGAGAGGAAGAAAGGCGTGTGAAAATAAGCTGTCAATAAATTCCTGTGTTGAAGCATGATGATTGTATTGTGGAAGGTCTACGTTAAAGTCTCCCATCACATAACAATGTTAATTGTCTTTAGAAATTAGGGAGAGAATATTGTTGAATTTTTCGATAAACATAGCACTGTTTTGATTTGGTGGTCTGTGCACGCAACCGACAATAATGTTCTTACCGTGGGGAACCATAATTTCCAAGAAAAGTGATTCAATTACATCTGGATCTGAAAATTTGCAGTTCCTGTTATACAAGCGTCACTTTCTTTTGGATGTTGTGATATCATGCTTGCCACAACGCCAACGACAATATAAAAAATGATTAACATGCTGTAAGTGAATTCTTGAATTCACAAACATATTCCTCGAACGTAAGTTGTAAGTATCCTGAATAAATTTCTTTTTTTTTGCGATTAAGATCCCACCGCTGACTGATGGCAGAAACAGTGGGACTCACTCGGCGTTTGTGAAAGGTATGAAAGTTTTTTTTTCAAATTCCTTTTTTCGCTAATATTTTCTCAGTGGATTAGCTTGGATACGAATTGTTTCATACACATACTCGTACACTTTGATGATGTATGTATGAAAATATATGACGAGCACTTCAGGGGTTTAAGATAGTGTAATTCTATCGATGATAAAATAACGGATTAGATCGAGGATTTGCTCATATTATTGGTGGGTTGGCCATTGTGGGTAGCCTGCAGCTAATGCAGCTTGGGTTAACGAAAAACTATATATGAAAGAAAACCCATTAAGACGAGGAAATGGGGATGAACATTTCTATGCAAGCAGCCTAACCACTTGTTTACTCTATGTGTTGCCCCATTGGTTTTGAAATGCTTGCTTCTTTTACTTAGTTCATAAAATGTAAAGCATTCTAATGCTTTGGTACTTGGCACCTGCTCACATGTATCCATTTTTATTTATTAGAGTGTATCGAGGTTTCCCTTCTTAGTGGCATTCTGAAATCGCAAGTGCAAAATGATATGGAGTTAAACCAAGCTTCTTTGAAACAGCTGGGCCTGAACACAAAGGTAATTACTCGTCTCTTGGCAAGGAAAGCCAAAGCATCCGACAAAAAGAGGATTGTCAACGGCTGAGAAACATTGTGCCTACTGAAAATACTGGTGAGTTAGCTTTGTTTACGTGCATGGTTTTTATTATTATTATTATTATTATTATTATTGTTATTATTATTATTATTTTATTCTATACATATTTAACACTTATTTCTAAGGTTATTGCCGATCTAGGGAATTGTTAAGTTGCTGACTCCGAAAATATGCTAGTTTATGAATTATTACTTGCATTATGCATAAGTAGATATGTCAAAAGATACCATAACCTCGTAGCCCCCAGTTCAATTTAATTCTCCCTCTCTTTTATGTCTGAACATACCGATTTTCGAGGCATCCCTTGAGATTAGCGAAGTTTTCTCACAATAAATCTGTACGGCACATTTTGCGATGGTATAATCTACAAATTGTTCGCATATTTCGGAATTAACATAGATCCCATCTTAACACTCGACCTTGAAGACAACCCCACATCTGAGTACTATATCTATTTTGGTGAACATAAAACTATCCTGGGCATCGCAATGACAGGACATAAACACCTAAGAAAGCTTAAGTTTACAACACCCTTTAAACACGAAGGCGCGCTCTAAAAGGAGAGGTGCCTTAGGTACCTCTGGACCATTTGTCAATCAACCGTCGTGTGATGTAGAACCCTAAGAGTCAAGTCAGCTTGAGCTATAGCCAATCCAAAGCAGTGAACAGCAGGCGCATTCCTCAAAATTGTTTTATGTTTTCATCACAATACAAGAATTGTTGAGATTTATGTTTCCTTTCTCCCATGGAAACTGTCTTTATTTGTGGCGGTAAATTTGAAATCGAAGTAGGTGGTTCGCACGTTACATCATTGCCATCATGCTGGTGGAAGTAAACAATAGATATCTCATTAGCTCCTTTTGTTCGTCTACCAGGCACCTAAGGGACCTCTCCTTTTATAGCGCGCTTTCGTGTTTAACGTTCAGTGTGACACGCCCTCGATTTTTTAATTTACTCAGCTAATAATATTGTTTACTGACATCATTTTTAATGATATTTTTGACACTTCATTAGATGCAGAATTGTGGCAAAAATACCTAGAGGTTGGCTTTAAGAGGATGGGATTCGTTGCTTTAATGATCATTTAAAGAAACATTGCGTAACTGTAGGTAGTCTCCACAACTCATTATATGAAACCAAATGTCTTGCGATAGCTTACTCTCTTTAAGGAAAATCATATCTTAAGGTAAATGTTGATTTCCTTCTATAATATTTTTCTGCTGAGGAGCTGTCCTGATGGTTCCTTACAAACACGCTTCATGTTTTATTTTTTCAACTTGCATGAAGACTCTCTGACCCAAGAACAGCGCTTCTGCATATACGCTTAAGGGTCAATCGTAAATTAACTTTCTTTCTCGTTTTGAAGGACGGCTTTTTGTACAATATACCTGCTCGAAGTAAATTTCTTCTGGTTACTAAGTGCGTCGATTTCGTAACTTTTAGTTACTGGGCAACTATATATGCCGTCTTTCTCACTGAGATTTTGATACCTTTTTAAACAGTAAACAGAGCATAAGTGCCGACGTGCCCGTGATAATGGCACAAACTAACATTAAAACGCCCAAAAAATCATGGCTTTTGCTATGGTCGATGAAAAAGGTAATGACAGAACGATCTGATAGTCTTAATGACGCTTTAAAAGTGTAGAATGTAGTGGTATTTTAGCAATTTTCGCCATTCTTTGGCTGATTTTAATCTCTTTGGTGTTTGCTCTTGTAGAAAACGATTTTTGTACGGTTCTTTTGTTGTGAAAGGCATTTATCCGTCCTGGGCTACAAATGACTTAAATTTTTTATTGTCATCCAATGACAATGTTAACAGTTGGATAAACATTGCGTTAATCACGGTCTAACTATCGTTCTTGATTCCTTTTTATCGAGAAGAGGACTCAGTCTCAAAATGGAAAGCAGTTTGACGTTTTTACTACCAGTATTACTTAGTAGAAAAATATTACTGTTATTATCCTTTGTTTAATTACTTATGCTATTAGAATTAGAACTATATTAATAGTATCATACAACTGTAAATACACCATATAATATATTTCGCCCTCTATTTGTCTATGTTTTTATCAATAAACGATACATGAACTATCCACTCAGCTCTCGTAATCTTAAATACCACGGGTTTTTTTTTTGAAAAAACTGAGAAACAGAGAAACTAAGCGTATAAAAAGGTATTTCTTTTTCAACTCGACGTGGTTTTGTTAAGAGAAGAAATTTGACATTGATGGAAGAAAATCGACGCACAAGGCCTCTTACACAACCCGTATAATACTCTGGATTGTTCTGGGGAGTCCCAAAACAACTGAATCACAGAATATAAATAATGAGCTTTCTCAGAGACTGAAAGCAAAGAACTGTTGCAGATGGATTATCAACTAATTTTGTCGATATCAATAAAGGAGTCCCACAGGGGACTGTCCAGGGACCAATCCTGTTCGCTATTATGGTTAACGATTTCACGGCCGCGTATCCAAGTAAAAGATCTTCTTTTAAAGTATGTTGATGACATCACGCTAAGTGTTTTTGTTAGGTCCAGTGACTCTGATTCGTCCTTGGACGAAGTCCAAAACATCCAAAGTTGGGCTGCTGAAAACCGAATGACCTTAAAAGTTAAAAAAAAAAACACGAGAAATGATGGTTCGTGGGAGACCATTAAACCACTCCCTGAACCATTGAAAGGAAGGAAGAACTCACACTATTTGGTTTAACATTCCATGAGAATCTATGGTCAGAATGAACTCCTGGGATTGGCTGAACCAGTACCAGGTCGCTTAAGGGGCATGTTATTTCGCGCGGCCTCAATATTTGTTTATGTCTTATGAACTTAATGCAGTAAATGGCTTGAACCCGGGGGTAACATGTGAAGGTGTAGTCTGATCATCCAGGTGAGTGTAGTCCTGAGAAAGACTGTCGTCGGTGGTAGTGACTGACGTTTCGACAACCTGTGCGGAAGTCATCATCAGAGTCAAGTGAATGATTGTTGTCAGTAGAATGTTCTTATTCCAGTTCGTGTGAAATGATCGGTTGGTTTTGCCGTGATGTTATTGCTTGTAAGACTCAAGTGACGTAAGTCGGTCGTGATTGGTCTGTTTCGATCTGTCGGTAAAGTTAGGTCGTTCTTTTTCGGTCGTTTGTGATGTTTATGTCGTGAATGAGTCGTTTGTATGGGGCGGGTAGTTGTTGACATCTGTTTAGGGGAGTCTGTTCTAAGTTAGTAAACCAGCTTTCCAGAGTCATTCGTTGAAAATAGTCAGTGCTGTAGGTTAGTCATCATCAGAGTCATCATCATGACTCTGATGATGACTTCAGCACAGGTTGTCGAAACGT